TCTCTCTCTCTCTCTCTCTCTCTCTCTCTCTCTCTCTCTCTCTCTCTCTCTCCTTTTCTTCGATCTTTCGAGTTGCAACTTCGTTTCTTTCCTCTGATTTTCACATTTCCTCTCTGCATTTTCTTTGCTATGTTCTCCTTCACTATTGTTGGGTCTGTTCGGGTCCATTTCAGTTGATTTGGTAGCTCGAGTTGATGCTTGCTCTAGATCTTAGTCTATATAGGGTGGGGTGTCTTTTCCTTTCTTAGGGTTTTAGGGTCGTGTTGGTAGCTAGCTTCGCGGGTCTGTGTTGATCTTTGTCTGTTCGGTGGGCGAGTTGTGTTCCTTCTGATTTGGGTTGAATCGCGCTTTAGGCTTTAGGTTGGGTTCCAGGTTATGAAGAGCGATTTAGCAGGCAAACTTCAAAAGTTTGTGCTTTCTTAAAAGGAAGATATGGGAGTAGAACTAGTTTACCTAGACATCGCTCCTACTCTCTTTGAGTGTCAATTAAGTCTTATACGTAAAGTGCTTGGGGAAAAGAAAAATTAACTTGGCGGGGTTAAAATCCACTCTAGGAAGTGTATGGAGTACTAAGCTACCGTTTTCTGTTAGATGTATCTGATTCAATCTTTTTCAATTTTTGTTTCAGACTGATGAAGACCTGGAAAAAATACTTCATGGTAAAACTTGGTTCTTTGACAGTTAGTACATTCTTTTGAAATGATGGTGTCCGGGTCCGATAGAGTTCCTTGAAGAAGTGGAAAATATTAAGGTGTGGATGCAAATTCACAACCTTCCTCTTCATTGGGTGGCTCCTGAGACTGGGTTAAAATTGGGCAGGATAGTAGGCAAGGTCTTAGATGTCTTAGTGCCATCAGCGGGTAATTGGGATTGGCAGATTGTCAAAACTCTTGTGGAAATGAAGTTATCTGAACTGATCCCAAGAGGAGTCAATGTCAAATTAGGTGGGGAGTGCAAATGGGTACTTCAAATATGAACACCTCAAAACATTTTATTACTATTGTGGTAAAATATGTCAAAACGACAGGAATTGTGCCACTATGAAAGGAGATGTCAATAGAGGAGTGATCAAGCATGGTCAATATGGGGATTGGCTTTGATATAGCCATACTGTCGTATAACGGTTCATATCATCACGGTTCGAACCTATCGAGCCGACTTCGATACAGTCAACTTCACCAGCAAGGTTCCATGATACTCAGGCAAGAATCACCGGCTCTCGACCGAGTCGACGTACACCTGTCGACTAGGATAAGTCGACCTCTGGCAAGGCAACGGTCAAACGTATTAGGATCCACTAACAGTTGAATGCGACCTAGTCGACTCGACCAAATATCTCAGGTCGACTGAAGGAGTTTTGCAGTCCGTGGTTCTAGATAGCTATGACATACCTCAGCATATTTAAGAAGGGTCAAGGATAAGAAGGAAGCTAAGGAAGGATCTAGATGCTAACTAGGAAGTGGGCAGAATATGAACCGACCAGGGTATTCTGGACATTTCCATTAAGTCGGCCGGGGTACTTTGGGGACTTCAGGTAAGTATTGCACTCCTATATAAAAGGGCTGAGGTAATCCCAAAACCCTAGCTCCCATTCATTCCATATCTTTTTCATTACTACTACTGCTCTCATAGCAGCTCCGATCATCCCTCTCATATACTGACTTGAGCGTCGAAGGCTCTACGCCGGAAACCCCTCCGGCGTTGAGTTCTTGCAGGTGTGCTCGCGGTTCAACAACGGTTCGAACGCCATTACATCAGATCTAAGCTCATTTACACCGGTTCATCCCAGATCCGGACGTTTTCCCATTGAATCGTTCCAGATCTGAGAAGAGACCCATCAGGCTTAAAGTTGTCCATACTAGCAACTTAGAATCTAGAAGTGTTAACTCCTCTGCAGGGGCAGTGGTCAAGGTAGAAGTGGGGGTGGCGAGTCTAATCGATCAGATCCCCTAAGTAGTGGGTTGGGTAAAGAGAATAGTGATCAAGGGCTTAATTCCAAAACCATAGGTAAGGGGATTTGATCTTAAGGCCAACAGTAGATGTAGAACCTTTGAGGTCTGAGGACTGTGTGGGTAAAAGGGAGGATTCTAGGGGGATAGTGATAAGGGTGATTTTGTGGAAGATCAGAATGACTCTCAACTTATGGACAATATTGTCCAGTCGGCCATAATTGGTGGTAGGGTTCTTCAGAGGAAGAAAAAAAAACCTTTACTAGAAAAGCAAGAACCACTGATAAGAATATGAGAGGGGTTGCTCGCTATATAAGATGGTCAGGGGTGTAGTTCTAGAGTATGTGAGAAACAAGGTGCAAAAAGAACCTTTGATAGATGTGAAGGTTCTAATCTGGATAACCAAAGTAGGAATACTAGCAACAAGAAGAAGAAAAAAACTGATTTGTCAGTTTCTTTGGTGGATGAAATAAGTCATAACTGGTCTCAAGGTGATCAATGAAGGTTGTGTTGTAGAATTGTAGAGGATTAGGGACCTTTCTACAGTTTTCCAAATCAAAGAGTATTTAAACACTCACCTTCATAATTTTCTCTTTTTATCTGAAACAAAAAAAAAAAAACACTGTGAAAATTGTTTGTAGAAAATGTAAGTTTGAGGATAGGTGGGCTGTTGTTAATCCAGTAGGGTACAAAGGAGGTCTCCTCCTTTATTGGTCTATCTATATTTTGGTAGAGAAATTACTCTGTTGTGAGTTTAAGCACCTTTCTTTAGTTATTTTTTTTTATTTTATTTTATTTTAATTTTAACTCTCTTAAAAGGGAGAGGTATTTCTTGAAAAAATTGGATTACCGAAAATGCCCTTCTCTATTGTTAATTTCTTAGGTTACTAATGTACTTTTATCACTATAACATCCATTTTTCAATAAAATTTTGTTTTTCAATAAAATCAAATTAAAAAATAGTTGTATGAAGTGTGATATGTTCAAAAATCATAGAAGCCAAAGTATAATCCTCCTATATAGTATATAACTTCTTAATTTGAAATACATATTAATTTAGTTAAAGAATATATAATTTAATAATAGAAATAATTTTTATAACTTTAAATTATTATAAAAGATATTGCCGATCATATATTTAATGTAACTCATAATATTAATTTAATTTTTTCAAATAAATTATTTCTAGTACTAATACTCATGTACAACATGGGTGTTAAATTAATAAATATATTATTAAAGTTATTTATTTCTAATACCAAACCTAATGTAACGCCCACTTCTAGTTTAAAGAAAATAATAATATTTTCAAGTAATTTTTAAACTTTTCAAAGATCTGAAAATTTATTTTCTTGGGTCATTACTCATAAAACTTTTTCTTTTCTGAAAACTCGCCTCTTTTCTTCTTCTTTTCTCTTAACTCTCAAGATGACTGGAGACATGCAATAAACTCAAAAATGCATTAAGTCTCAAAATATTAAATTTTCATAATCCCCAAATCATAGATGCAATCATCTCAAAAATCTAATGTCTCGACATGTAAAAATAATCTGAAAAAGGACTGCAATGTCTGAAATAAATAACTGTATAAATAATAAACTGGTGACCACACCGACCTGCCTCCAGTGCCGCATATCGAACTGCTTAACCTGAAAGGTTGGTGTGGGGAGTGAGCATAATAATAATCAACGGGCTCGCCTGGAGTCTATATAGTACGGACATTCAAATTAAACAAAAGATACTGTTGTAAGCAGATATAATACACAAATAATGGTTTCAAATAAAGTTCTAGCAACCAAAGCAGTACTAAGGTGCAACTGAAAATTCTAGCAACCATCGGAGTACTGCCCCTCAGGTGCACAAATTGTCTACTTAGCCCTTCGAAGTACTGCTCCTCGGGGGACTAGCTAGCATGCGACATATCTGATCTGGGAACAACTACAAAAATAGTTGTTCATACCGTACGTGATCAATCGTCCGGTATATAACTGAAAAACTGGAAACACATAATTCATGCAAATAACGACAAACAAAAATATCACAATGTTTAATCAAAATGATGTACTAGATAGACTTCCCCACCTGGATATTCTGGCTCTGCTAAGAATGAGTTGTCGCTTATGTAGAAACTCGAGGGCTCGACTCCTCGGAATTTACATAAAATTAAGCGATACTCGGATAAATAACTAACTCTAACTCGGTAAATTAAATTTACCAATTGAAAGATTTTATAGCTTAAGGTTCATGACTTATAAAATTCTGTTCTGACTTAGATGTTGGAACTCTCGACTCGGACTCTATAAAATTCTCAGAATTATTCCTTAAAAATCTGTAATTAGCCTCGTCCCGAAAAATCATTTATAGGTACGGGATAATTTATAAAAATGCTAAACATAGCTCGGGATGCTCATAACTGCTCAACATAAAATAAAACTGTGTTCGGGCTTGCCTCTAGCCCGGTTCTGACTCGGTTGGTGCGGTCTGGTAGCTAGTCGGTGGCTCGGGTCTGACCGCGGTTGGCACCAGACGCGCGACCGCTGCATTTGGTGTTGCAGCTGGCCTCAGCCT